CTTTACATACCTTGTCTACAGAGTTCAAGTCAAAGAACTGGAGTAGATCAAACATATGATTGAATGAGCTTTCCTCTCTTTCCCCCCCATTTTTAAAATTTTCCTTAAAAAATGAAATGATTAGCTTTCCATTGTCAAGTAAACCTGTTCATATTTATTCAGCATCTCTATGGATCAGACATAGTGGCAGAATGTAGAGCAGACTCTATAGCCACACATCCAAACCCCCAAACATACTGTATATATGAGCACTTTGGATTTAACAAAGGGCCAATCATCTCAGTGCAATCCCAGCACCATCGATGGAGGTATGTACATGGTGTTCCGGTCCAGTCTGGTGGGAGGTTGGAAGCACCAGGGAAGAATTTCAAGGAAAAATGAAGCCCAAGTTGAGTCCTTAAGTTCCTTAGTAAGCCTACTTCAGAGATGCTCTAAGGATAAATTTGGGAGGAAGTTTTCTACCAGGAAAAAATATAACTGTTAGTATTGTAGTATTCAATTCTGCAATGATCATCATAATAAATATCACAAAGTAATAGAGATTAAGTAATTTTCCCAAAAGCACACAGAATGCCAAGTGAAGATCTGGATATGAAAATCAGATCTCCTGACATCCAAGATCATGCTGTACTTCATGTGTGTGTGTGAGTAAAACCTATACGTGTCGATGAATGCATATGTACAGGTGCATATACATGCATCTGCGCACAGAAGGCACAGGTGTGTAAGTACATACACACAAGGCTTACTCTCTCCTCTACCTAAAGGGGGCCTCAGACAGACTGGTTTGGGGCAGGAAGGGGGCTGGGAGGGAGCACACGGATAGGAAGCCCTGCTGAACCCTAAAAATACTCTTCTAGGACTCCATGACAGCTACTGAAAATGCCGCTTGTTTTTCCATCCTGAAAAAAAGTCAGAATTTGTTGACCTGAGTTACAGATCTCTTGATTATTGGATCCTCAAAATCACTCCCCTTCTGCATCCAGGCAGGACTGCTCCTAATTTCTCTTGTATTTTGGGATCCCGAGAAAAGAGACTGTGTTACTTCCTGCCGCCTCCTGTGTTCTCCTGCAAGAGAAAATGCCTCCCAGTCTCTCTTCTCTGGCTTTTATTGAAGGTCTGTGTGGCAAAGGAGAAAAAGCAGGGGCCTTGGAGTTGGAAAGATTTGGGGTCAATTCCTACATTTACCACATTCTAGCTACAAAACCCTGGACAGAATATGAATTTCTCTGATCTGTAAAATTGGAATAAAAATGACAATTCTCATGGCTATTGATTTGATAGATAATGTAGCACACAGCAGGTGTTAAATACACTTTCGTTCCTGTTCTCTTTCTTCACCTGCCCCCAGTATTACACTGCTCCCTTCAGTACAATTTCATATGAATGGATTTTATAAGCCAGGGGTGGGGAACCATTTTCCACCAAGGGCCATTTGGATATTTATAACATCATTTGCAGGCCTTACATAATTATCAACTTAAAAATTAGCCTGTTCTATTTGGTCAAACATTTAATTAACTCAGCCCTAATGCCTTGGCAGGGCCAGACCAAATGATTTCACATTCCGGATGTTCCCCACCCCTGTTATAAGCCGAGTCTCAGTGTGAAAACACATCTCAGGTTCAAACAGGACCTAGCTTAGCAAGGTCTCAGAGACATTGTGGGAAAACAATGGTTAATGATTATTCCTATCTCCCACACCTGCAACCCTGGCCACACTTTATATTTCTAAGCTAAGGTCTACCCTCCCCATCAAGCCCCTGCTTTGGGGTTTGAAAATGTAAAGAGGAAAAAAAGGAGTAGGAAGAAGGAAGTAGAGCAGAGGAGAGGAGGAGACACAAGCGGAAAAAGGAGGACAGCAGGGTGTGGGTAGCAGTTCAGAACAAGGGCGCAGTACGTAGGAAGGTAGGCACAGTCTCTGCACTACTGACAAGCTCTGTGACCTTACATAAGCTCCTTCCTTAGCCTGAGTTCCCTCACTTGAAAATAAAATCTATATCACACAGCAAAGGAAACCATCAACAAAATGAAAAGGAAAACCACTGTATGGGAGAACATATTCACTGACACATCTAATAAGGAGTTTATAAGTTTAAAGAACTTATAGAACTCAACACCAAAAAAACAAAAAATCCAATTAAAAAATGGGCAAAGGACCTAAATTGACACTTCTCCAAAGAGGACATACAGATGGTCAACAGATATCTGAAAAGATGCTCAACATCACTAATCATCAGAGAAATGCAATTAAAACCACAATGAGATATCACCTCACACCTGTCAGAATGGCTATCATCAATAAATCAACAAACAACAAGTGTTGTCAAGGATGCGGAGAAAAGGGAACTCTCATGCACTGCTGGTGGGAATGCAGACTGGTGCAGCCACTGTGGAAAACAATATGGAGGCTCCTCAAAAACTTCAAAATGGAACTGCCTTATGACCCAGCAATTCCACTTCTGGGAATTTATACAAAGAAGCCTGAAACACTAATTCGAAAGAGTAAACACACCCCTATGTTCATTGCAGTGTTATTTACAAAGCCAAGATATGGAAGCAGCCCATGTGCCCATCAGTAGATGAGTGGATAAAAAAGCTGTGAAACATTTGCACAATGGAATACTACTCGGCTGTTACAAGGAAGAAAAGCTTACCCTTTGTGACTGCATGGATGGACCTGGAGAACATTATACTAAGTGAAATAAACCAGTCAGAGAAAGACAAGGACCATATGATTTCACTCATGTGGAATTTAATGAACAAACTGAACTAACAAGAAAAATAGAGACAGGCTCATAGATAGAGAGCAGGCAGATAACTTGGGTGTGAGGGGAGGTTGAGGGAGGTATGGAGGGATTGAGCAAAAAAGAAAAAAAAAGAGAAAGAATTCATGGACAGGACAATAGTGTGCTGATGGTGGGGGAGGGCGTGGGTGGGTGGAGGTGTAAGAAGGTATGGGGGGGATACATGTTAATGGAAAAAAACAAAATAAAGGAAAAAATCTGTATCATAAGATTGCCATGAGGATTGCATGTAATGATATATGTGTCTGGCAAGTAGTGGGTACCCAATTAAAAAAAGTACTAGCTAGCCCTGACTGGTTTGGCTCAGTGGATAGAGCATCGGCCTGAGGACTGAAAGGTCCTGGGTTCGATTCCAGTCAAGGGCATGTACCTTGGTTGCGGGCACATCCCCAGTAGGGGGTGTAGGAGGCAGCAGATCGATGTCCCTCTCTCATCGATGTTTCTAACTCTCTATCCCTCTCCCTTCCTCTCTGAAAAAGTCAATAAAATATAATTTAAAAAAAAGTACTAGCTAACATACTAGTACTTGTCAATACTAAGTAACAAAAAAGAAGGGAAGAAAAGGAAAGGAATCTTGAATTCACACCGGAATCATAAGGAGTTTTAGGGCCTCTGAGCCCAACTGCATAATTTTATAGACGAGGCTACCCAGGGCCAGGGATGTAGTGATTTGCACAAGCCCACACGGCTCTGGAGCAGCAGAATCTGGCCTAGAATCTGAGGCTCCATGTATAGAAGGTGGGACATGCACCTAGAAAGGGCTCCTGGAAGCCATGGTCACCCTTTCAGGAGTGGCCTTTCCATGGAGACTGACCTAGTCCACCCCCTCCCTGTACAGACAGCACCCGCACAGCCCTCGTAGGGAGCATGACTTTGGTTCACTCATGCTCCATTCTATCATCTGCAGGCTCATAATTAAAAGAGAATACACATGCCTTTGGTTTCTGAGACCATTATTAAGCATGGGGTGAGCCACCAGCAAGCAGACAACCAGGCAGGAAAACCTGGATTAAAGCTAATCCCCTGCTTCACAGACACTAGTCAGAGAGCTGCTGTGGTCCCATGGAGAGGAAGCAGAGTCGGCGTCAGGGAGCTCGCCAGCCCTGCATCTGCCTGGGGAATCTCCATTTAGAAAACATCATCTTTTCATGTTTTTTTCCGATAGGCGCTGCAACGATTTGCATTCATTCCCACCGAGTGTTAGGAAGCCTGTGAAGTAGTAATAACCAGGCTTCCTAATGCATTTTAAATTTCAAAAATCAACTTAATTAAGTGGGGTTAATTTTTTTCTCCTGAGCAGCAATCAAACTTTAATTAATACTCCATTAAAATGAATTCCTGGGGGAACGCAAGCATGCATGTACCTAATGAATTTCTCTGCCAAGGGTGTTATTATAGAAGATGCTAAATGTGCCTCCTCGCTGGCCACTTACTCAATTTCAGAGTGCCCTGTGCTAGTCAGAAACGTAAAGCAATCGCAGGTTTGCAACCCTCCTCTCTACGGGCCCCTCTGCCCTGCCGAAAACATAGCATCACCCACCCTCCCCTCTCCTGTCTCCACGTCCTGCAGGACTGGGCCAGACGTCAGCCCAGCTAACTTCCTCCTGTGTGGGGCGTCCCCCAGTCCCTTTCCCTCACTGGCTGTCATTCCACCCTCAGGCAAGGTGAGGACCAACTCCTTTAGCATCCCCCTGTGGCAGAGCTCATTATAAAGATTGAGCCTTCTGTTTTTTAAAAATAAAATAACATTGAGCACATTTGCAAACTCTGTTTCTTGCAGGCAGCAAAGATGATCCAAGTTCTGCGGGACTCTAATTTCTGACAGGCACAGCAACCAGGAGCAGCGGGCTGTGGGGTGGAAAGGGAGGCTCTATCCTCTTATACTTCTCCCTATAGTGACTATTTCTATACCAGGGATTCCCCAATATCTCCAGCTCCAGCAGACTCTGGAAACCACCGGTCTCTGTGGCCCCCTCCTCGCTGGAGATGAGGAGGAAATTTTGCCCCATACTGTTTGTGAGCTACATACAGGTTATCAGTAGCAAGGTGTTCATATTGTCAACATCAGGAGGCTGGGAACTCCAGACCACCGGGACCCTGGGCACAGCTGGAGGGTCATGATGCCGGGAAACGGACGTGACCCTTGCCAGAACAAGCCGACCCAGGCGATGCCCCTGCTCCGCCGGCTCTTACCTCTTTGGTGTGTGTGTGGAAGGAGACAGACATGTCCAGCAGAAGCTTCCGCTGTTCCACCCTGCGCACGAAGTCCTGTATGCGCACCTCCAGGTGCCGCGCCGCTTTGTAGATCTCCTCGGGGTCACATTCCCCAGTCTGTGCCAGCTGTTCCGCCGCTTCTAGGAGCTTGTCTGCATTGGTGTATGTATTCTGCCGGCAGCAACAGCGAGAGAAAGTCAACTTGCAGTCACGAAGGGAGCTTCTCGCCTTCCCCCAGCCCACCCGGGGCTGCCCAGAGCTGGAGCGCAAGGCGTGGGCGCTGAGCCGACAGCTCCCTGATCTGGCGCGGAGGAGCTGAGCGGGGAGCCTGCCTGCCGCCTCCCACCAAGCTAGCAGCCTGCCTGGCAGCCTGGCACATAAGCGGGCACTAGCTAGGAGCCTCCTCGGTCCCTGGGATTTCTCAGAGGAGGGCTGCCCTGGAAAGAAGCGAGGAGACATGCTAGAATCCCCATTCCCCATCTGCTCCTTGGCCCACCCCCGACCCTTGTGAAGATCCATCATTGCCCTCGCATCCCAGGCTGTAACTGTCTGAGTCGGAAATACCTCATGCACCAAGATCGTCTGGGTTTCTAGTGCGAACACCAGGGAAAAAAATAACTGGGAGACTTGCTCGACTTTTCCCTCGAGTTCCTTGTGACTCCTAGTGTTTATCTTTTGAAACAGAGCTATCTCTTAGGAGGGGAAGGGGTCAGGGACTCAGGGAGCTGACAGAATGAGGCAGCCACAGCCCGAGTGAGGCTATGCAGGCTATTCCCTCCGTGCCCAGGGCTTAATGCTTGCAGGAAGGCTGGGGCACCGTCTGGTGATGTTTGTTTATTATAAGCTACTGCATGCACACCCCCATTCACACACACACACACTCCTCCAACCCCTGTCTGTGCATACCATGGAATTCCCCAGAACACTCTAAAAGTCAGCAATTTATAATTATTATTTGTCAGGATGTAATAGTTACTGCATATATGCCATGGCTACAACTTTTCCTTAGCAGGCTGCCCTTTTAAAAAGATGGGATAGTCACCAATTTAGAGCTAATGAATCAGGCGTCCATTGTATTTCTAAATATCCCTACAGTCACAAAACGTCCTAGAGCAGTGGTTCTCAACCTTCTGGCCCTTTAAATACAGTTCCTCATGTTGTGACCCAACCATAAAATTATTTTCATTGCTACTTCATAACTGTAATGTTGCTACTGTTATGAATCGTAATGTAAATATCTGATATGCAGGATGGTCTTAGGCAACCCCTGTGAAAGTTCGACCACCAAAGGGGTTGCGACCCACAGGTTGAGAACCGCTGTCCTAGAGAGTGGTGAACAAGTGGTCACTAGTGACGATGTGAACCTGGCCGCAGAAACAGTCAGGGATAAACACAAAATGAATGGAGAACTGGAGTGGATTTATGACAGCAACTGCACGGGCTTTACGTTGCCCGTGGAGAAGAGGCCTCCAGCCTCTACAGAGTTTTTGGACTCACCCAAAGACCTGGGTGTTAAGGGTTGAACTGTGTCCCCTCTAAACTCACATGTTCAAGTTCCAACCCTCCATACCTCAGCATGTGACCTTATTTGGAAAGAGTCACTGCAGATGTAATTAGTGAAGATCAGGCCATAGTGAAGTAGGATGGGCTCCTAATTCAATATGACTGGTGTCCTCCCAAAAAGAATGCCATGAAAAGAGTCAGACACACACAGAGACGCAGAACGCCATGGCCAGATGAAAGCAGAGATCTGGGGATGTATCTTCAAGCCAGGGAATGGCGGAGACTGCCAGGAAACCACCAGAAGTCAAGAGAGGCCTGGAACAGATTCTCCCTCTTTGCCCTCAGAAAGAACCCACCTTCTTACCATCTTGATCTTAGATTTCTAGCTTCCAGAACTGCAAGACAATACATTTCTGTTATGGAAGCTACCCAGTTGGTGGGACTTCGTTGGGGCAGCCCTAATAAGCTAGTATGCTGGGGTGGAAACCTTCAGAGGCTGCCGACCCAGCCTCGGTTGTATTGGAGAAGGTGGGCAGGCCTTCAGCAAACACTGCCATGGCTTTCAGGGATACCAAGAGAGGCCTCAGTGGATCCTTAAGACATGCTGTCTGAAAAGCAAACACGGTCCCAAGAGGTGGGCATGGAGCTGGGACTGCAAAGGAAGAAACACCTGGATCCACCTGGGGAACTTGTGGGAAAACAGATGATCCTTGTGTGAAGGAGGCTCTGTCACTAAGTTAAGCAAGGGTATGTTGATTCTGAAAGCAAATGAAGGGAGTACTCAGAGTCATGATAGAAACACCAAGAGAGATAGGAAATGGTAGGCAGGAGGGGACCTCGGAGGCTGTGGCCAGGTTAAGGAAGGCTCTTATGGAGTTTTCCACAATTCTAGGAAATATACCCAGAGCAGTTGGAAGAGAGGTTTTTCAGGAGCTCCTCAGGGGAATCTCAGGAAACCCCAAAGAAACCCAGAGGGTGCAACTTTGTATTTTCTAGCCCATAAGTAAAAATTTTCAGCAAAGCCAAAGCAAGCTTTCTTTCAAGTTTGGGACCAAAAGACATAAATAAAAGGCAGAACTGAAGTGCCTCCTGCTTATAAGGTGGACAACTTTGCCCTGGTTTGCCCAGGACTTTCCTGATTTTAGCATCCTGGAAAGTCTTCAAGTCTGGGAATACTGGGATGGCTGGTCACCCTAACATCCCCCCTCCCAACACTGTGGGTGTCTCAGGAATACAGGCACATGTGCAATGTATGCTGCCTCAAAGGAGAACAAAATTATTCTTGAATATAATGTGACAGCACAAAAAACAGGGCAGGCAACAAAATAATAGATAATTAGGGCTTCAAGACATGCCATGGGTGCTAAGAAGAAAATGAATAAAAATTGAAAATAATAATAACTAATAAGGATTAATTAAGGTGTTTTCACATCCCAAGGAACAGTCTAAAGCTTTAATACATATTAATTCATCTATGTTTGCAATAACCTTATGAAGTTGACACAGCTACCACCAGCCCCATTTTACAGATGAAGAAACCAAGGCACCAAGAATTTCTGGCCAAGGTCATATGTCTTGAAAGTGGTAGAACAAAGATTAAAATCTTGTTGTCTAGCTTCATGGCCCAAGGTCCAAACCATTACACTACCTTATCAGGTAAAGAAAGGCCTGGAATACCATACTAAGGTATTTTACTCCAAAGTTGTGGGAAGCCACTGAGTGTTTTGAGTAGAAGAGTATGACTGAGTATAGTATATAGAAACACCACTCTGGCTCTCTACAGAGTGAAGTCAGAGCCTGAGGATGGGTTGGGTTTAGCAGAGGAGGGGGAGGGCTTTTCAGACATAGGACTCTCTTCTCTCTCTCTCTCTCTCTCTCTCTCTCTCTCTCTCTCTCTCTCTCTCTCTCTCGTTTTGCCCACAGTACTCAGCTTATCCCATACCGCAGCCCTTTGAAAAACCTTTTGGCTCCACCTGGAGAACTCATGGAAAACAGATGATCCTCGAGTATTATCAAAGCACTACCTTGACGCTTGCGTACGATGCTCACAGTCACACTGTGCTCCCATGGGCATCTCTTCCTATTGGTCTGTGTGCTCCTGAAAGGTAAGTTCCATGTCTCCTTCGCCTTTGGCTCTCTGTCAGGCACTGTGGCTGGTACACAGTAGGCACTTACTACATATTTGCTGAACAAAAAGGCTCAGAGACGGGAATAAGCATGGCATGTTTGGAAACATTGAGTCAACCTGACTAAAACTGGAGAGTGGTAATATATCCATTGGTTAAGGAAGGGAAGGGATACATAATAAATTTTATAGAGAGAACGGTACAATAAGGCACATGGGAGGACAATGGGGTCAGCATGAAAAGCTGGGCTCCTCCTCTATCCACTGCCCAGTCCTCCTCCCCATCACTACCAGGAAGAGCTTCTGAAATGAAGACCCTGTCATGCATCTCTTCTCTTTAGAACTGTTCAGGAGCTTCTCACTGCCTTTGGGTCAAATACCTCAGCGTGGCATGCAAGGCCCTGCTTCACCTGTTATTTTCCTGCAGTTTCAGCTCACACCACTGCCTTACAAACAGCCTGTGAAATAAATTGTTTACACTCCCAGACACTCATTGCACTGAATCTTGCCTCTGTGCTTCTGCCTGGGATGTCCCTCCCCTACTTTTCTACTCGACCAACTCTCTTACTAATCTTTGAAGACCCAGCCCAGGCATCACTTCCTCCAGGAAATCCACCCTCATATCTATCTACCTACCCACTTTCCTCCTAACGCTGGCTTAGGTAACATCTTCTGGGCGCCCAGAGTGAGCAGTGCTGACCCTGCCATGGTACTTGTCGCGTGTTTGCCTTTCTCACCTGCTTACGTGCAGAAAATGTCTTTCACCTCTTTCTCTTAGTGCCTGGCACCAAGGAAGTGCTCCATGAGTAGTTATTGAATTAATAACTTACAGATGACACCAATCCCCAACAATCCTAATATTCAATCCTTGACCTTCATCAAAAACCTGGCACAAGGCCTACGCTAGAAATCATGTTCGATGTTCAATCCCATTTGGTTTATCCTACCTCCTGGCATAGTCTTGAAAAGGAATATGGCTGAAGAATATCAACTACAGTATTATTAAAGCACTACATTGATGTTTGTTTTTGCCACAAATTGGGACAAATATCACAAACAGGGTTCTGCTCACCTTCTGACAAAATCAACAACAGTTTCTGCCCCAAGGCCAAAGTTCAACCTCAATTATGTGTGTAGTTCCTAGGCATTCTTTGGTTTCCCAGCCTCTTAACCTTTGCTTTGGACTTGACCCCTTATTAATATTCCCCAACTGATATGCCACAAATGGGTTATGAGTGCTGGGATATCAATCCCTCAGCCCTTGAGACTTTCAAGTAGGGTCTGTGGGAGCCAGAGATTCGGGCTGCAGTTCCTGCTCTCCCCTCCCAACCCCCATCCCTATGGCGCCAGGTAAAATGCCCTAAATAATTCAGCCCTTAAGTGTACCTTTCATTCCCCCTGGTGCAGCCTTGGCCCTTTAGTTTTTTGCTTTCTCCTCAAGAAAGAAACAGAACATACTGAATAACTTGTCTCTAAAAATACAGGCATCCCAACCACGCAGGTGTGGTGTCAGACTCCTGGGCTGAAGCCAGGGGCAGGGGGG